AAAGCGATGGATGTATCGTGCCGGGGTGCCGGCAGATATGATTTGTTTTTCCCATATCCGTTTTTATTTCGCGCAGATGTTCCTCTATTCCCCTTCTCCCCTTCCCCGAAGAAATCCGAATATATCGAACGTGCACGTTAAATCGTTCACGCTGCATCTTTGTCGAGGACGACAAACCCCTCTTTTCCTCGCTGCAGCTACGCAGCCTTGCTGACCGCGCGCGTGCTTCGAAATTCGGAAATCGGAAAACGTTTCACAGCCCGAGAACTGCGAAACGCTATCGGAATCTGGGAGCGATTCAATTCTCTCTGTAATACTAATCGATAGGGGCTCGCATTCGAGTGTTTCTGGGTAATTAATCATCCGCGTTGAACCACGTCGAATCGACGATTTCAGCGTTAACGTGAGGCGGTACAGCTGCGATCTTACGCGATATTGTGAGATATTTACGCGATTTTATGCGACCCGCCGAGACTTGACGTGGATTGATTAACCGAGGGGTGTTAATTAATGAAATCTTCATTTGATCGCGTGGAACAACGCCAGTTTCGACTTCAGATAGGTTATCCTCGATCGCGCGGGAACCCCGCGCGCTCGTAATTGACGCCGGAATTCAGAGCGGGAATTAAGGGATTCAACAAATTGATAAAGACTACGACAGATACAAATGAGCACGGTGTCTTCCGGATAAGAAAACATTCTCAAACGGAGACAGAATAATCGGTCGCGAATAATTACGAATTCCGTTAGGCGAGATGGTTCGTACTTTCGCAACGTTTATTGCGAGAGAAAAGAAACGCGAAATCCAAACGTGAACTACATATAAATGCAACTGCGAGGGAGGAAAAAATCTTCAAAAAAAAAAAAAGTATCAAAGGATCTACGGTTCGCGCACAGAGGCGAAACGCTTCGCTCTCGAATTCAGATTCTCGAATTGCCCCAGGAAATAAAAACGACGTGTAATATCGCGTTCTTGCGAATAACTTGTTCGTTTTTAAAATATACCGGAAAAGATATCGCGTGTCGTAACGCGGAACGAAATAAAGATCGACGTCGCGTATCGCACACGATTTACGTCGGAGACGCCCCTGCAGGACTCGCCTGCATAAAGTGAAATAGATGGAAGCGGCCGGTATCGGCGAGAGGAGGCGAGGAATCATACAGGACGATTTAATACGCGTTCCGCATATGACACTCTCGTAAAATAAAATACGTTACGGTCCTTGGAGAATTCCGCAGGATAATATAAAACCGAAAGTGCGCGCGCGCGCGCGGATATATATCATTCGTTCGCGACGTCACGATAAATCCGTAGATTGTCAGAATCAGAGAGTGCGTTAAAATCAAGGAAAATGGGACGTTTCGAGAAATTCCCGAAGAATTGTCGTGGAATGGCGATAAAACGAAAGATTAAGTTTAAAATGGAGCGCGCGCGGAACAAATGACGTCTTCGGATTAAATAGATCACTTTAAATTGTTGATCCTTTTATGCCGATTCTTTCGTGATCACCGATTTATTCATTGATTACTATTGAAATTGTGTTCAGTTCGAATGTTTTATGTGTCTTTGTTATAATCAATGAAGGCTAGCGCGCGATTACATAAGTCATATAATCGTCACTTGTGGATTTTGGCAAACCTTTTTTTTTTTAAATTCTTTATTAACGTTTATAAACCGAGGCCAAGAGCCTGAGAAAATATTAACCTTGTTTTTAAAACGTATTTTTATATTTTATGTTTACATCTCCCTCTCTTTTATTTATAGCCGGCACAGTTTAAAAATTCCAGTTTAAAAATTACTCAATTGCGCTTTCCTATTTTTAGAGGAAGAATTCCATAAGCCACGCGCGGAATGTACACGGGATCTTATTTATATGCATGAACGTGTTTTTCGGGATACAACATATTGCGTATTTTGCAAGCGCGGCATCCTCGAGGATTACGAGGAAGAAGACCTCCCGCAGGTCTCTCTGCGATGACCGGAGGAACGAGCTCCAATATATCTCGATGATCGTGGCGGTGCATCGAAATTCACAAACCCTCTTCGGCTATACATACAATTTTCATCTCGCGCGCCTTCCCTTTCATTGCGCCACCGCGACGACACACTACAGTGACGACATTGTAGCTGCGAATCCCTACGAGATCGAGGGTGGAATAAGATCGAACGATCAAAGACACCCAGGGATCGGCTCCGACCTGTCGATGGATAAACAACACGTATACATCAGAGTACGTACATGCGACGAAAGTGTTGGCGCGTCCTCGACACCGTTGCGCGAGGGACGTAATTGAGTTTTCTTCTCGAATTCTACGAACCCGCTCTTTCTCCATCTTTTCTTTTTTTTTTTTAAGAGTCGGTTGTTGTCGTACGTACTCCATCTTTGAAACGTCATTAAGAAATTAAAAGAGAGAAAGAAGGAAAGAAATAATCGGAAAAGTAATCGACGAGCCGATTTTTCGAAGCAAACCTTAGATTGGAACCTGCAAGGTAGGAAAGAATGAGAGGACATTTAAGACAATGCGATCCTCGAGCGCAATCATGATCCGCGCGAGTTATTTCCTGCGATATTGTCATCGGGCTATTATCGAGCAGCTTGTTCCCCACCGCGTAAATCGCTTCGAGTGCTTCCATCAGTCAAGATGTAATTGTGCCTCATGGAGCCTTTTATGGCTGAAAAGGATTCAACATGACGACGCACTCTAGATTGTTGTAAATATCCTGTTTTCGCCCTAAAACGCCCGAGATGTGTGTAACTCAATCTCGACCTGTCGAATGAAACGGCCGTTGTATCGCTCGCGCGGCAGAATGGGATTAATCGTGGTCACTTTAGAAATTGGGACGATCCGAACATAATGGGGGAACCTCTCGAGAAATTCAGAATGATAATCAGATTTATTCGTCCGATATATTTACGTACGTTGAATTTTATCTTCTGCTTTATTAAAGTGACGGACGTTTCTACTCCCGATTTAATAAATTATATTTTAATCAGTATATTTTTACGAAATCTCCCTTTTCTACACATGGATCAATTTAAGTTTCCTTATCTGTACATGGATCAGATTTAAACGTCACGTCACTTCAATTCGTTATTCATTTGGAGTTTTTACACCGACGGATACGTCAGAGCGGCGTGTAGGGTTTTTGGAAGTTTATCCGTTATATAATTTATTATTTATACGGATATACGGCATCTTAGGATGCCTACAACAAACTACCTCGGAGATAATCGAGCATCGTTGTGCAAATTATTTATAAAGGCGTTCGTGTGGGTAGGAGTAGCATCTCGCTATTTTTGGATAAAACCGTAAAAGTTGTAAGAGTTTTCTGAAGAATCATTTGTAGGATCGAAAGCGTATTATTCTTTCAGTCGAGTGAGTCTTCAAAGTGATTTGAGCGAATGTTTTTATAGAGAAAACATTTTCCTCAAACTGTTTAAAATGGATAGTTTATCCTTGCGTTGCGCATTGAAAATGCTATTTCAAGATTTGGTTAATATTTATATAATATCAAAAAGCACAGCGATTAATCTTCATTTTTGTCTTTCTTTTTAAAAATATTTTAAAATTAAAGGAAAATATTATTTTTATAACACGGTTTTTCGTTTAATGGAACATGTACTCGAGAACTCCGATCGATCACCTAGGAGTGAAGAATTTCCAAAGAATGATTATACTATATGTACATTTAAACATTGTGCAATTTACATGATTCGTCCGTAATTAACGTAATTATTTTTAATTGGTCTTGCAAATGATTATTACTTTCCCTAACTTTAAGTTTAGGCTGCAGTGACACGCTTAGCTTCTCGTTGTAAAATTAACACTCCAGTCATGCTTTCCATCCTTATTTCCAACGTCATCTAAAGTTACACGTCGTGTGAGAATTACCTCACTTAGAGCCATCGTATGCAAAATGTGTCGAAAACTTGTCTCTGTCGTGTGCTCCAGTGCTCATTCAATTATATTTCATACATTTTGTCGTCAATGAGGGAGAGAGAGAGAGAGAGAAACCAGGAGAGAGGAATCCTTTCGAAGAAACGCGTCGCGACGGTAAGTTATTGCGACGAGTGAAGGGAAAAGGGCGAGCACAGCACAAGTAAATCGTGATAACGAACGACGGGAATCCCTCGAGGTACAGCATGGGGGATTGATTCCACGCATAAATCGATCGTCCGGTGACCCCGCTTCGTCCACGCGAAGGTTTCCCCGGGATTTATCTCCCAGGAAGTCGGCCCGTTCGGCACGTTTACACGCCGCCGCGCCGCGGCTTCGTTAATGCCCGACCGGCCGATGTGTCACCCTCTGCTTCGCTCGCTCGCCCTCCTCTCAGACGCGTCTCGCGCGCATACCGGTGCACATTTGATTGCGGCCACAAATTTGTTTTATTGTTGGTCGTTTGCGCGCGCGTCCGCAATAACACGGATCGCATTATTCGTGCTCGCAATTCCGAGGCGTTCGGCTTGATCCCCGAGCGGGTAATTGGAAGATAATTGCGGAGGGGAGAGTTAGATGGAACGCGAGATACTTGTGTGAGATTGCTTGCTGATTGAGTGATAGATGAGAATAATTTATATTATGTTCTCTGTTTATGAGTTCTCTGTTTTATCTTTGAAATGTTAATCATGTGTCGAGTGATATAATTCTGATGAAAAGTGTTTTCTTTTTTTTCTTATTTTTTTTTGTACAGCAGCGAGGCTAAAAGTATCGTATCAAATCTGAACTTTATTTGTTATATTAGACAAGTATCGCAAGTAGTTTTGAAAAAATAGGCGAAGGTTTAGAGATAGATTATTTAAGATAACGATTTTTTACTCCAAAAGAGACTAAAAGGGAGCCTCTTAGTCAGAAAGCTTTTAATACATTTAATCTAATTTACTAATCGGTATGATGCAGTTAACAATAAACAACGAAACGCAGCACACGTTTCTCATTTAATCGAGAATCAGTTCTCAGGGTACTTTTTTTAACGCATGAACGACTCTTTGTCGTTGCAGGTGCGTTCGAGGTCGTTGACGCAGCTGGACTCCTTCAGTGGCAGCATGCTGGACACGGGGGAGCATCATCCGGAGGACGATCCCTCGCAGCAGCAGCCCCCTCACCTGCACCTCTATCAGCAGCCCCCTCAGCCGCAACACCACCCCCTCGGCATCGAGTGCAACCGGATTCGATTTCTCGCGCCGAACGCGACACCCGCCGAGATCGCGAACGCCAATCGCCGGCACAAGCTCTCGCGATCTCAGGTGAGTTCTTATCGACAAATATATTCGATGCCTCTCTTCAATGTGTCACCGCCGGAATGATTCGTGACGTGGATTTCGCCACGCTTATTTTCCGGTGGAATATCTGAGTGCTCCTTCTGGCAGATCCCTCGCTTCCTTTTCTCAATTCAAGCTTCGGCGAATATCGCCGCGGCTTTTGTAATATAATTTGTAACAAAATATTCCTTGCAGTCTCTCTTCCCCGCGTTTTTTTGTATTTTTTTAATGTTATTAGCATATCGCTTTTAATTAAAAGGAAGAAACTTTTGAATTTAGTCTCCGCAGAAGTATCAAGAGCGAGACTTTTTCCTCCACCGAAAACTAAATGCATACCACGGTTTTACGAAACGGAGGAAGTTTCGTTATTAAATAACTTAGCAATTAGCTCCGAAGTGCGTTAAATTTCCGTTGAAGTAAAGTTATTTCAAATTAAATCTAGAAGTACTAGATTCTGTTGTGGATTTACTTTTATGAAAGTTTTAAAGTCGTTTCGTTCTTCTTTCTTTTTTTTACGCTCACATAGTTAACAATCGTTCACATTTTAATCCACCTTAAAATCTGCCGAAAAGAAAAAAAATCGTTTTATCGTCGAGCTTTTCGACGTGAAATATTGCGTAATCACAAACGTATATGCGTATACGCGCGAGGGTCGCGCGCGTATGCAACGAACGCGAAATATTTACGCCACATTTGCTCGAGAGTGATAGAGGGAGGAGAGAGGAGGAAAAGAGGGAGAAGAGCATGTATATCCGGCGTGAAAATAAAGGGATCTCGCGTGCGCGAGAAGTTCGATATAACGAGAGAATTTTCCACTTTATCCGCGGATTTCGCTTTATCCCAGCGCGACGAGCGAATAAAACGGATAAAGTAAAACGCGGGCTCCCGTCGCATTGTAACGCGGACGTCGGAAAGAAATGTAAATGTTTCCCGTGTCCTTCGCGCGCCCGTTTGCGGGATCGGACAGAGATGTATCTTTCGTCGTTCCGAGCACGAGTTTCAGGCCGAATGATCGAACGGGAAATGCGCACGATGAACGGCGCACGAAAATTACATGCAAACGCGATGAAACGCTGCAATATACTTTCACTTCGCGTGCGCTCCCGTCCTTCCGCCAATGTAACAGTAAATTTCGTACCTGATAACCGTAACGCGATATTCACCGGCAAGCGGAACTGTATACATCTGTACATATCAAAACGCTCGAGGTTGTCTGCCACTCGATACGCAGCGGTTCGCGTTGCAGCACGCATATTTCGACGTATGGCACATGCAGTTCCCAGTTCTCTCAAGCAGCGAATACGGCCGGGCGAGAGCCGGGCTCGATTCTTCATGCTATTGAGAGATGCATCCGACGGTCCGGGCCACGCGCTTTCGGTAGAGCGTCTCGGACATGGTCCGAGAGGTGCAGCCACCCCCCCCCCCATTTCCCAAATGGAGATCCCATGTACACTCGCTGAATCCGAAATGAGACCGGATTGAACGCGCGACTGGACAGTAATATGCAATTAACGATCTTTCAATGGGCCATCAATATTTATGCCTTTTTAAATCAATATAACGCGTATTCCGAGCGTGTAAGTAACACGGAAGCGTTACCTTTTTCCTAGCCGACATGAAGTACACGCAATTATTTTGCGCCCCGCGTCGAGTGTCGGCGAAACTAATTTCCTTCTCCGGGTCGACGATAAAAGAATGGTGTAGAAAAGCGTTTATTGTAATTTACCGTAATTTAGGGTGTTACAGAGGTCGTATCTACGTCGCGGATCAGCGGCATTTTATCGCCTTAATCAACATTATTTTATTTTCCGAGAGAGAGAGAGAGACTATTACAGCGATTAGCATATTTTTTTGCGTATTATCGCCGAGCCGATCTTCGTAAATTAACAGGCAGATGATGCAAATGAAAACGTTAGCGTCTTTATCGGCGAGAAAGAGATAAATGTATAAATTTTTTTAAAATAATTCTCTTCTTTATTTCCAAACATTATACACTTTATTGCACAGTATTATTTATGATGAATAAAATCAATATTTAGTATCATAGGAAATTTAATATTCAAAATACTTCGGGAAAGGATGATTTCTTTGAGGAAGGTGATTCAGACAAACGAAAAGTTAAGCGGTAAAAAAAATATCCTACAAACATCACATCGAAATTTAGCGAAACAAAATGGAAGGAGGCTCAAATATTTTTTTCAATCATTTATTACGGCTGTTGTACGGATGCAAATCCACCGTGGAAAAAAAATTCTTCGTAGCGCTTGTATTTTATATGCTAAACAGCAATCTGGTAAACATGCCTTTCCGAACGGAATTATACATATTTGACTCCGCAATTAGATTCCGGGATTAATAAGTACGTCAAGTCACACGGTTGCAATATAGGAATTACAAAATGCCATTCGTTAACAAGAGGAGATAATCAAACTAACTTTAATTGCACGTGGGAATTGTTCCGCGTCGCTGGCAGTTTCTGACATTTCATTATATCAGCCGGCCTGTTGTCATTTTCTTGCGGTATACGCTAATGCTGCGCATAAACGTCACCGGGTACATCCATAAAATTAATACGTCAATTCGCATAATCCCGCGTCCGTGTATAACAATCACGCGAACGCGACGAGATTACATTGCAAAATGGAACAAAGCTTCCTCCGTCCAGCGTCCGTGTAATCGCTCGCATCGCCGTAAAATTTTTGCCTGCTATTTCGCTTCACCTGTCTCTCTCTCTTTTTCTCTCTCTCTCTCTCTTTCTCTCTCTCTCTCTCTCTCTCTTATCTCTTATCTCTTTTCCACTCTGTGAGAGACGCCGCTTTTGAGCGATACAAAAAACGTCTTATCTCGTTCTGCCAACCGGGCGTTAATTAATTTGCGCAATATTTTAAACTCCCACTCTAAGTAAGTACTTTTATCGATTCTTTTTAATTTCGCAGCGACTGCCAGAGTTATCTCTTACTTCACTTTATCTTCCCTTTTCTTCCAATTATAATAATAAATCTGATATTAAAATATGAAAAAAAATTAAGGAAAGGGAACTGTTTATTACTTTTGAATAATCGAGAAAAACACATGGCTCGTTATTATATTCCTTGAATTTAATCGTTACATTTGACTCTTGTTATTTGCGGGGAAAAAATTTTTTTTAAGAAACCAGAGAAGAAATTAGTGTTTGTCAACGACAAATCTTAATTACAGTCCTCGTTTACTGTTCTTTGCTTTATTCTCGCGTACAATTTCGCATAACGTCCGCCGTAGGCAAACATTGTCGCCATAATTCACTCGACAATTCGAACAGCTTTGTACACACTCGGACGTGTACACGTGTTACTATTTCGTTTACATCGCGCCCGTGGCACGTGAATAATTGGAATTTAGTCGTACTTAGCGCACAAGCCGCACTAAACGTACGATCAATCGCCGTCGTGCGCCCGATATTCAGTGAGTCGTCCCTTACGAGGGGAAACCGAGCTTCTTTGTGCTCGCCCCTCGGCGAGCGAGTAGCTCGGAATACGAAATCCGTAGACATCCGGAGGAGCTGCTGTGCGCCGGGAGCGGCGAGAAAACAGGACGAAACACGGAATCGCTATTAGCCGGATCCGGTTTTGTAAAACTGCTGGTATTGTGTGTAACGCCGGACATGGAATGGTCGGGGAATACGCGCCATCGTTGCGAAATACTTGATGAAACACCGTAACACACAGTTACAACCGGTTCACTATACAGTTCCAACGTGAGATTTTGTAATAAAATTAGAACGTACATTAATTTTCGACGTAAATAAACATTTAGCGCACGCGTAATACGCGAAGTAAGACTTATCAGTACAAAAATATACGTGCTAAATGCATGCGACAAATTTTAAAAGTGGCGCGAGACCGCCAATCTATTTCTATATCATCTCTATCGTCTAATATGCATGACCAGTCTTACAATCTGTTGCATAAGCGCAGCTCCGAGTAGGAGCTTACGCGCATCGGTTAATTATATAAATATCTAATGCCGAATGTGCGATATTAACGAAGCTTATAACGTCACCGAGTGAGCAGCTGGCGCAATCAAAAATGTATAATGGACACAAGAGAATTTAAACACAGTGTAAATCGAGCATTAATAATGATTTGCGAAACGCCGCTGTATATTGGTCCAACGATATTTATGTGGCCATTAATAACCATCGTTGTTTATGTGGACGTTAATAACCAAACGCCGAGCACAATCGATAATTATCTTCGCTACATTTTTTAATCTAATTTAGATAATGAAATTACAGTTTCGAGTATGCGGAAATAACCGCATAATTTTCTCTCTCTCTCTCTCTCTCTCTCTCTCTCTCGCTCTTGCTCTTGCTCTCGTACGATTTTAGATAATAAAATGGATTACGTGCTCAGATTTAATGAGAATATGGAAATTACCATGGCAACGTGCTTATATGTTTAAAATCGTTACGGGTGAATTTTCATAATTATTTTTTTTTTTAACTCTGCCTCCAATGTATACATATATTTTGTGACTTGATAAATTATGATTACTTGATTAAGTAAAATTTATATTACATTTTTACATTTATATTTTCACTGATACATTTATATTTTTATTATTTTTACACTGCGTTTCTATATTCTATTTGTCGAATAGAAATTCTATATTCTTATTCTATTTATTGAATAGGATTCTATATTCTTATTTGTTGAATAGGAATTTGGAGTTATACGTATATGTACACAATTATTTTGGAATTACGTTGAACAATGATTTCATTTCTATTTATATACCATTATCATTAACGCGGTTACAATAATTCAGTAATTAGAATGTAAATAATTCATAAGGGAGAAGCACGTGCCGTAAATTGTAGTATATTACAAAGTAGTATAGCGGGTCGTTTATTCGTACGAGAGCGTCACAGCTGAACGAGTACTTCGTGTTGCAAAATTACCCGGATTTACTGCACTCTCACCGTCAAGGTCGCATCTTAATGGGCATAAAAATCTCGACGAATCGCAAGAGAGTGCGAAATTACTGCAATTTTCCGCCACAAGTGGTCGGCAGAGGCCCAGAAACGTAATGGCTCGCACGAGGGCTTTTTTTTTTTTTTTAAAGCTCCGGGGGATAAAGACGATGGGTTCTCACGCCCATATAACTGCCGTTTTCGAGAAGTAAGATCGAATTAATAAATTAGACCACGGTTACAACGGAGTGGGCTTTTAACGACGCGAACGAGTGGTAATTTGCAAAGTACACCCCTAGTTTTATCACCCATGTGGCTCTCGTAAAACTGTCGAGTGAATTAGAAGGCTCCCGCATAAAAGTTACTCAATTACGGTCATTTTCAAACATGTCCTTGTTTTTAAATGCAAAATATTAGTTGAATAAAAAAGATTTAGTCAAAGTTATGATTTTACAAACGCGTTTTAAAATCAACAGTTGTTCGTCAATGTGTAAATATAAAAATCATTTTTTACATTGATGTGAATCACTCTGTGATATTACTCTGTGTTGTAAAAAGTTTTCTGGATTTATTCCTCAAATTTGACATTGAAAAGTGCTTAATCTTACTTATATAAAAGCTATCCAATTTTTATTTATACTGCAATAGTGGCGTGAAGTTTACTATTTCAGAAGAACCAAACCGCAAACTGGCGTGTGCATAGATCGATAGGAACGAAAGAGGTAAACACTGTATGAATGAGGTTTACATCTATACGTAATCTACTGAAATATAAGTGGCCGCGTAGGCGTTGATTTGGACTACTTGCAGTAGTAACGCCTACACGTGCCGCCTATGACGTAAAAACGTGATACTTGTGCGGGATTGTTACGATAGAACGAGCATGTAATCAACCGGCTATCAAATATAAAATCGCAAATGTGCACAGAAAATTTAACCGTCAATATTTGTGAATGTTTGATGAATGAATAAGCAGATAAAAGCTCTGATACCGACGAATATTTTTTAAAGCTCCATTGCTACTTTTTACGCCGCGCTGTAATTTTATCAGCGAAACTTAGTGCGATTTAACAAAGTCAGCGCATACTTTTGGCGAAAGTCGAGACATATTGCGGGGTTTATTCGAGTCACGTAATAATATACGACGAGAATTGAGTTTGTCAAACTGTGGCCCTCAGAATAATTCAGCTTTTCCTCTTTTAATGTCTTTTATTCTCGGTGAAATAGGATTGATAGTTTTCTCACGTATGGATTATTAGATAAAAGAAAAATTTGCCGGAAGGAAGTTTCTGGAAAGGAAATTCGAGTCATTTACGAGCGTAGCGTTAAGAAAAGCACAAGTAAAATAACATAATTATATGTTGTAGAAAATATTTAAAAAAAGATTCCATGATGAGTAAGAAAAATATGAATACGAGAGAAATAGTTATTTCGTAAAAAAAATTAGAAATTATTTTTTAATTTTATCATATAGTAGACAAAGCATAATTAAAGAGAAAGATTGCTTGAGAAAAAAATTTACTTTTGGGTCAGTCGCAAGTGGCAAACGCAAATATTTTTATTTCTTTTTATCACATTATGTTATTTGCATCGTGTTTTCATATAGAGAAAAACATGGAATAAATTTTTGCACGTTTAAGTTTGATATAAAAAAAATTTAAAGATGTATAATGAGAGTGAGTTGTTCGAAAAAGTCGTTATTAAGACAATCGCCATGAGAAATGATAAACGGTAATGTTACAGTCTTCGTCCCTCATAGAAAGTGACGCAGGAATTCATTAAGCATCTACACTCACGTTAGTATTATTGTCACGAACTATCAAACTATTTATCCTTACTTCGGAAAGGTCGGTGAATTACATATATCCCCCCCCCCCTTCCCCAGGGATAGAACGTAGTCTCGCTTCTCCGGTTATCCCTTACCGAATCGATGCAAACGTGGATCAACAGTGTTACGGACTGCCTCCGGAGCAGAGATCCCTACAGGGATCTAAAAATAATCAATTTCAATGACACGACGGCAATACAGCTAAAGTATATTGACGAAAACACGGTTAAGATGAGATTATCTCCTCTTTTAATTTCGTATTTATTAAATGCGTGCCTCGTTGAAAGTGTCATAAAAATGAAACCTACAAGTGTCATAATAAAAATAAAACTTACGAAGAGAAATCTAGAATTTGCTGGAAATTTGGAACAGAAGTCTAAGTACGTGAGTTTGCAAACTTAGAATTAATCTTTATTTTAAGAAAAACTATGAAATATTAAAATCTTACTAAAATCATTGAATCTTAATAAAGTAATCTAAAATTTATGCAAGAAGAGAGAAAGGAAAAAATCTGTGTAAAATTTATAAATGAAGACTTTATTTATAAAATGTAAAAAATAACATATTGCAGTCTTTTGTGAACAGTAATGTATAACGAAATAATATAGCAACAAAATGTTTGCCCTTATGTCTGTCCGCCTCGATTATGACATTCGCTAAACAGTTATTTTGATTACTTTGACAATCATTGGTATTTGCTAAAATCTGGTTTAATCTGCGTTGGCATTTGTACGCGATTAGCAAGTCAGCTTTATTTCGATGCGACGCGTGGGCATTGTAGCACGTAGCGCGCATACGCTTCTAAGCCGGTATAATGGAAAGGAAAATTCGTTAATACAAATAAATATCTATACGTGGAGAAACTGCATACCTAGCTATAAGCTCTCAAGCGTGGTGTAGTACGATGTGGCATGCCCTCTCTTTCTCTTACGCGATTACCTATATACTCAAAATTACATAGCCGTGGAAACACTTATGTGAGCTAACGCGCCTTGTACCTCGTTATGCACCCCACGTTTCGCGCGCGAAATGTGTGCCGCGACAATTGCAGTTACTACGACTTCGAAACCCCCTCGAAACCCCCTTTCTCCATTGCGAGGGAAACAAGAACCAACAACGATCGCCCTTTGCCGTCCGGGCAATGTATGATTCATGCGCATGATCTTACATGCAACCGACGTATTCAAGAGAAATGCATCTTTTGTACGGAAAACGTTGTCGTCTCGAATTTATTTCGATAATTTATTAGAAAATCTCTTTTTAAAGGTCAAGAGGCAGTCAATTTTGTTTTGTGATTCTCGCGAGCTCTGCTTAACAATATCTCGATTTATCAATCGTGATTAACAAACACGATTATTTCTCTTCGTCGCGCCTCCCCTCTTCTCCCCCTTCGATAAGTACTCTCTCCCAATGCGTGCTGTCGCTTGTGCTGAGCAGTGAGGTAAACTAATTCGCGGCGATGACAAGCAACAATCTTTGCCGCGACGGCGATTACCGATGCCGTGCTTTAATATTTAATTCCGAGGGCCGACTCGCCGCGCCGGCCTATCCAGGTGACTCGAATTTATGAGAGCGCCGCGTCCCTGCATTATTTATGAGGGAAAAAAAAATTGAGTCGAATGGGCGAACGTGGCGGCAATATTGAATCCGGGCCGCCCGAACTGCGGAGTAATCGCGGTATATATCGCGTGGGAGAAACTGGCCAGGCCAATTTTCTAAGTTCTCGCGAGATGCGTAGTAAAGATTGCGGGCGCGCGAAACGACGCGCGCGTTGCGCATCGACTTCGAGCTATCTGCGTTAAGGATCGCGCTTTAGAAACGCGCGCAAATACAGAAATATTTGCACGGGCATTTGTATTCATGGCTCCTTCGCACGTTGTCAGATTGTCTAAGCGCCTAATTTGTTTGAAGCTTTGCTTGTGTCGCGCGCTGAAATACACGCGAATCTCGCGCAAGACTGTGATCGTAACTGTTACACGTATTATATATTCGATATATTGCGGCACTCGCGGTTTTGTCCTCTCCTTTGAATTTAATGCCTTAAATCACGAACTGTGCATTTAAACGAGATCTGTTCATTCAGTTTCGCTTTAAACCGCGAGTACGTCGCAGCTTACTGGTTACATCCGATCCTAAAGCGATTACGGTAAAACCAAAAGTCGGCTCTTTGTGCGGCAAAATCGGCTAGAGTTTTCTTTAGAGCGTAATCCCGAGAGAGACGCTAATCAGTGGAGTTAATCATTGAGTTTCGTGTGCGGGTTTATCAGCGTCGGGAATTTATTATTATTACTACATTTAAGCTGTCGCTTTTACACAAAAAGATTTTATATCTCGTTGATTTGACGATGTTTCACATTCCTACGCTGGTGTACTAAATCATTTAAATTTTAACAATTAGATTTTAATCTAATATATATGTATTTATATCGTGATATACAGCAACACTCTGGTTTACGTGATTTCATCATGTATATTTTTTGTAAATCTGAATAACTTTCCTTTTGAATGTAATATAAAATAGAAACAGCTCGAGTAAGAGTTGTACAAGAGTTTCTCTGTGAAATGAAAGAGAAACAGTCTGAGCTTAGTATTTATATACCTCACTTTCTTGTTCAAAATTCTGTTGAATCTCATCTACATCGACAACGAGAGAAACTTCCGCCAGACCAAGAGTTATATTAAACCGAGATCCTAATTACCGGGAATATTAAGATCACTTTTACCCAAAGAGATAAAATTAATTGTGCTCACGGGCGTGCTTCATTCTGGTTACAGGTATCCAGCAACGAATACTTTAGCGTCAGTTTCGAGGTGGGCGACGACCACTTGACTTCCTTCGACCGGGAGGAGTTTCTGCCGGCGACGCGGGGAACTTACTTGATGTGAGTGCAGCATTATCGTACTTTTAATATCCCCCGCGCGTACGCGCGCCGATCGGGGACGATAAATTTTGTCGCGCGTGTCACGTCGCGAATGACAATGCGACGATATTTATAGACACCGCAGCGCCGAACCGCAATACGCGCGTCCCGGGACCGATCATCCACCGCGGATAACCGCCGCATTACGTCACGCGGCTTACGAAACCCTCCCCCTCGCCGTCGCCCAGTTGCGGGCGAGAACGCGAAAAATGCGCACCGTCCGCGCTCGCGACATCATTGTTCCGTTATCTCACGGCGCTCCTCAGGCGGATCGATTTCAAAATACTCGTCTCGACATCGACATCTTTCATTTTACCGTCGCATCGTCGTCGCGAGATTAAAATTCATCCCCCCAATGCGAAAAAAAACCCTCGTTCCACCTACGCGATCAATAATGGTTCGTAATCATTATCTCCACTATTTCTCCATAAAAATTTTCAGGGGAATGTAATTTCAGCTTCGCGGCATCTGCTGTGAAACACGATTGGCGAAACGATAGCGTTATTCGTCAATTACGCGGTAAACTTACAATTTATTTCCATCATACTTATGTCATGTACGATTTTCATTGCAACTTAGTTTTATTGCGTTTTTTTCTTCTCTACAAAAGAGAATATTTTTCGGAGCGCAAATATCACCAATTTCACGTGCATGTGTAACAGCGTTTTTTTGGCCATTAATTCGCATACCGTACGGGCCATGAAATATACTACGTAATGCCTATCGTTAAGGAACATTCCATTAAGTCAAGTATCGTCGTCACGTATCCGACGTTGTTTAACGCCGACCGAAGATATGCCGGCCGACCGCGTTACATCCAATCCCCTTTAGATTCATTCGCGAAAAAGGAGGCGGCTCCTCCTACCTCTTTTATCGACCTCCAGGACGATCCGATGATCCATTAAAGTTACTTTTAAGCCGAGTAGGGGTGGTAGAAGGAAAGGTAGAAGGTACTTCTATTTTTGAGATCGTCAGGAGGTCAGCCCTTATTCCCTACCGTCCGCTCTACAGGGGTGTACCGATTTATCACCGCGCGGCATCGACGCGGGGGTGCGGATTTGTGGGCGGCAAATAAATAGGCAAAGCTCGCCGCTCGCGCCGTTGTTGTGTGTTTATAATAAAACCGTGTGCCGGGGACAGGGAAAATAAATCGCTCCACGCACCGGAAGTGTCGCGGCTCATAATCAACAGCGGGATTTAATTTATCTTGACGATTTATCCAACCGAAGATCCCTCGCGCTCTGTTTGTTTTAATCAGTGCGGATACGTGGACACCAGTATTTATTTCGCGATCAGGTGTTTCTTGTCGCAAACGAGAAAGGAAGGACGCGATTATTAATTTCTCCGACATTTTATTTTTGGGAAAAGTTTTTCTCCGGCGAGTAAAGGGTATCACTTTAATGTTCATTGCGCGCCGATTACGCGGCATAATTTCTGTCTCGCGGTTTTTTTTGCAGGCGCACTTTTCCGACTTTCCCGCGATTTTTCGAGAGTGAGCAGCGAATTAGTGGACGAAATTTTCCGGCGGAAAATTTCCCGGGAGACGAATGAGATGCACTTTAAAACGTCGCTGTTTTAGAAACGGCTACACGCTGAACCTTTGAAAAGTCCCGTTCATTTGAGCGGCCATTTAGCGTACAGCAATCAAGTAACTTTAACAGTCAAGACGATTATTATGAGAAGCGAATATTTATAGAAAAAAACTTTTGAAAACTTTTCAGATTGATAACGAGTGCAGAAATCTTTCAGAAAATTAAAACGTGACTTTTCAATTTCTTTCAATCCTCTTGGCTTTCGTTATTTTGCCAGACTCGCAATATTACCGCTTATATTCGTGTTCTTCAATCAAAAGCTCGCTCGATTCTCGTTCCTACGATTAATATACTCATCCAGCGTGACAAGTAGTATCAGAAAATAAACGGACTGTATCACGGGAAGACAATACTAACTGGTAAACCGTCGGCGTTTGCGCGCGCGAGAGCGCCTTACGCTTCCAACCGGATTACTCTTAATTGCCAAGCATTGTTAGGTGGCGAACCGAGAATTGTACAAAGCGCGCGCTCCGCCTTTGTCGTGTTTTTCTCTCTCTCTCTTTTTCTCTCTCTCTCTCTGTCCGCAGAAAAATTTTCATTCTACCCCGGGATCACGGTTTGCATGAAAAGCACCGTTCTCCATTAACGCGCGAAATCTTTATCGTCTCGGATCGTTTGCTGATTGTTCTTGCGTCGCTCGTAATCTCCCGAAGCTGCAGCTTGCATTACAATTAAACGCACGTTACCGTCTCCCGCGGGAAAAGGAATTCAATTCGCGTGGTTGCGAAGGACTCTATTTGGCACCCTTTCAATACGTAATATATGTCCCAAAATAAAAAAAAAAGGAAAGAAACGATACACACAAATTAGATTGTGATTTTCTCCTTCACTCGCTCGAGTCCCTTTCTCTGTTTGCTCTCAGTCGCTGTTGCCTCACAGTCCGAATTTATTTTGATTCAATTTGAATCTCTTAATTGAATACGCGCATCAGTTATTATTTACGTACGTCGAGTTCTTTAATTACTCGTATATTAGAAAATCGTAAGCGACGGGTGTATTTGCGAGACATGGAACGCATGGAAGCTCTCCATATCTCCACTTTTTTCCTCCCTTCTTCTTCATGCGGAGAGTATCTCTACGCTGGCAGTCGAACATCGGGGAATGTATATTAACGGCGAATATCGCTGAGTCACTCACTTTGAAATAGCATACCGCCATTTAGAATGTGAGGTGCGCATATTCGTACATGTACGTGCTCGCACACGTGCATACCCGGCTGGGCTGTCGCATCAGCCAGTGATTTATAGCGATTTAATGCGGCCGGATATGTTCAATAAACATGAACGGGGCGCGAAGGGACAGTCCTGTGTCGAGCGATGTATGTCACGACTGTAGGAGAAAATGTAAAGGAGGAAAACGACGTAAACTCTGTACGTTATGAAGATTGCATTTTCTTTTTGTATATACGAAGATCAAAGCTCGATGGACATTACGTAATAATACGAGCAAGCGTACTCGAAATAATTATCGATTCTCGATTGAATGGTATTCCTTGCTTTCCAATGAAAGTATATATATATCAACGTTAAAATTATTATGACGAAATTATTTTTATAACATTGCAAATCTAATTTTATATCACTATTTAAAGTCTCTGTTCTATCAAAATAATTGTTATTTCTATTATATACTTACAAGTATAAGTTTTTGAAAAATTTTCAACTAATTCTTTAATTTTTTTAATCTGTGAGGCAACAATTACATTGATATTATTTGAGCTTAAAATATGAAGGTTTACAGACATTCGTAAGCTTCGTTTATCCGCAGTACTTTTGACACCATTCCAAATTAATATTGAATTTTATTAAAAAAAAAAAAGTATTTTTTTTCAAAAGACGAAACGCTCGAAAGTTTAAAATACGATATTTGCGAGTACAAGTGCCATTCTACTCAGCTGAAACGAAAGCTGCAAAGCCTATAGAACGTGAAATAAAAAAAAAATTACTCCGGATGGAAACCGAACCTCCGAACGCGATGACGATTCGACTTTGAACGAGCCACGTGCACGGCTTTCGATTTCATGACGCTGCGTCATCGGTTTACTCCACTTGCATCAACACACACTGCGAGTTGTTTGGAATTTCTAGTTTCCACGAATTTTTTGCCCGACGCTCTGACGCGACCGCGACACACGTCATCCAGCTTTTTCATTTGATATCTTGGCTGCTTTGATGAAACCCACAACTTAAACAATCTCTGACTAACTGGAATTTCACGCTCGAAACGAATGTACATACACACGAAAACAATGTATAAAATATATTCCTTTAGGAAAATCTGGCGAATTATCTCGACGAGATAATGCTTACGAAGTTGCGCTTTCGGGACGTGACCGCCCAAGAATAAAGCTTTTGTTTTGATACATATTACGGTTAACGTTAAAGAATGAAGGGAGCGGTGTAAAATGTACGAAAGGAAAGCTGAAATAATGGGAGGGAATTGTGTGAAGCGTGGACGAATAAATTAGTTTCTTATTCTACTCCTACGAATTCCGCCGACGAAATTTCTGCTCTGTCACTGCCTGCAGTGTTACGCCTTCCTCAAGGCAGGCACCCTTTGTTCAACCTTACACCATTATTTCATTAGGCACTCCTTTTCCTTTTGAAATAGGCCGCTGGAAAACTGAGTGATAACCAGGAAACAAGGAGGTAAATTTCAGGCTACCGGAGAGCGACCGGTAATGTAAAATTATAACGTCGCATCTTTCCTTCAATTTACTCGCTTTAACAAGATACATTGCGAAATATATTTTTTCATATTTTAACACGGTACACGAATTTTTCGAGATATTTGACAATATTTTTACGTATATTACTATTGTCATCCATCATGATCATTCAAAAATTTGTTAGAGTCGTCGAATATGTTAAAAATAGTTCGGTTTTACAATAAATTCCAACATCCTATCCACCTGAATCTTCAACTCACGATCGTCTATTTCATTTATTATCGAGTGTAAAAGAATGATTACCGTGATTCAATCTAGTTACATCGACGGCTTGTCGAAATTTATTTCAATTTCTTTGCATCGTTGCTGGTTGATTATGTAATTTCTGGTTGTTGTTCTCTCTAATTCAGGAGTGTGTATTTACAGACTTCTGTGGCAGAAATTTTGGGTGATTTACCGAAGAAGATGGCAATAATTTCGCATAATTTAATAATTTAGCGAAGTTCTCGTGGTCGCGGTATGGGGTAATGGTAAACGAGGATGGCAATTATCCCTTAAGACGAGGGTATAACGCATAATATAATTTCTAATTCCTCCTTGGCAACAACTTAGTCGATTTTTCTGGTTACTCCCCACTCCGTGGGAAGCATCGAGATTGAAGTATCATCACTGTTGTGATTCGCGTCAAAATTGTCGTTTTTGCATAATTTACGCGTAAGGAAAATCATTGAAAGACATGTATAATAAGCGCGGAAGTCGAATTGAGTATTCCACTGAAACAGGCCGCCCAGGGACTCTTGATTGGAACAGACGCGCAATACGAAAAGTTAAAAGTAACCATCGACTAAGTGCTTTTAAAACTAGCAGCAGAGTTATTTCAAGAAACTGGGATAGAAGTGTACCCAGAATATTAAAAAGAAGGAAGCTGTTCGTAAATTTTTTATTTGTAACAGAAAAAATCTGTTTAAACGATATGTTTCCCAAATGCAGGAATGGCGGAAATGTTATTTCTGCGGGATAAAATCAAATTTGATGTCTTCAAAAGTGACAGTAAAATCAGTTTAGCGTAAATCTCGCGTGAGTAATTAAATCTTGAAAATTTAAAAATGATACATAGGAGTAAAAATGATATACAATAGGAATATGCACAATAAGTTTACTTGAAGAAGCGTCGTTTTAGCATTACATATTAAAAAAAGAAAAAATTATTTATAACTTTTATGTACATTTAAGTAATTTAAGATGGCTGATTAAATAACTTTAAACTTTAATTACGTCTTGAACTCTTTTTTTCGTGCAAATTCGCAAATTCTGCGTATCCATAAATTTCTCCTGTTAAAAATAAGAGCACGATATTTTGCAATCGAATTTATTTTTGAAAAAACGTATTATTTTTTTTATACCATGTCTGTGATACACAGATAACATTTATTACGTCGTTTCTCTCAAAGTTGAAATACTTTTAAAGAGTGCGGGATATTCCTTTGCGGATTTTGCGCGAGGTCTTTTTAAGGGAGATTCCTTTAATCGTCGTAATCCGACTGAAAAGCGCCTGAAATTGAATTACTGTACTTTTATTCTCAAAAGTTCAGAGATTACGTGGACGGACAGATCGTAGCGCGAAGTAAAATACGCATTACTCGACGAGAATTAAAATTCGTACTCGTATTTCTTGGCGAGAGCTTTCACGATATCGCGGCCGCTTATAAATTATCTTATCATCGACCAGAGCTTAACAATCGCTGTGCCGTAATCGCGATGGCGGTTTAAGCGAAGAGCCAATTTTTTTGAAAAGTGTTCGTGCAGTTTTCTACTTTTAATTAATTAATCGATATAACGCAATTATTGGCTTTTTTTATATCACGTGATTATGGTATATACGCAGATCGATTATTGCTGTGTATGATATCGAATCCGGAATCTGAATGGCATTAAATCTCGGCTTTGTTTCGGAAATATGGCCGAATATTTTCGTCGACGAGAGACACGCAAAGCTGCTTTTGCGTTTAACTTGCTGCATTGTGTGTTACAGGGATGTGCTGAGTCCGGCCTGCGAGCGCCGCGGCGTCGATTTATCGCGCGTCGAAGTCCTCGACAGTTCCTCGACGCCGTTATCCCTGCTGACGACGGACGCCTCCACCCTCGGTGGAAAACACCTACGAGTGATCGGTGAGATTTTATTATTTCATATGCATTTGGATTTAAACGGATTCTGTGTCAAGGATTCAATTATCAGATGACGTGTTTGCGCCGCTGGATTGATTCCTCGATTTTTACTGTCTTGCCGTCGTATTTTGTTCAATCTGACTGCAGGATCCAGCCAATAAATATTGAAATTCACCTTCTTACTTACTTCATAAGACTCCGCAGTGATCACACATCGTGATGTTCGTGCTTTCAAGAAAGTTCTGACTTGGTAGCGATGGAAAGAGAGCGATCAGAAATTAGCGGTTTCGTATATCGGGTTCATCGAAACTGAGCGAACGATAATTATTGTTCGGATTGTTTGACATTAATTTTCACACGTTTCCTTTGAAAGGCACTGCTCGATACTTGGTTTCGACTACCATAATCAATTAATTATTAATGGTACGTCGGAACGCTCCCGGCTCATTTGCGGCTAGCGAGTATCGAGCACAATTAATTATTCTACGCCGAACGAGATGGTCGGGCTAATTCCCGAGGTTGATTAATCTACAACCGCATAGATATGAGCCCGCACGAAGTTGAGTGACATAAATCGCAAGTGGATCATACGCGTCGAAGAAAGTCCGCGTTTTCGATAGAGAGAATATAGACAGCTGTCGTAAATCGTCGAAGTCTGTGTCAAATAATGGAGATATTTATATCACAGAACGGATTTACTTATAGATTTAACTTTTTTCGAAGATGTCTCTTTTCGCCGGTGATATTTTAGGAAGGTACTTAGCTTTCCTCAGGATCCCGTTGGATTTCTTTTCACTGCGTCTTTATTTAATTCGATTCTTTTTAGAATTTTCGACGAATGCACCTCGATCTTAGAATATTCTCTGTAACATGTCTTAAAACTCTCCGTATTAAAATACAGTTCCGTACTGCTCGGTCGAGTTTACTTAATTACGCTGTATAATCGGCTTAGGCACGAAGTTAATCGATTAAACGCGCGAAATAATTCACCGCCTCTAAATTTGTTAAATCATTACGGATCACGCACAGACCATTCCCTTGCTTCCCCTGATTAATTTAATTGTCTTCCGGCGACTTGAGGCAACGAAGATATCCGGCGATGACAGGCGAGGGTTTCAAAGAATCGTTAATAGATAATGAAGAAAGGACGAATAATTAAATTCACTTCCTTTTCAGTCTCTGGTCAGACGGGTAACGAAAGCTTGGGGAGAAGGGTGGAGATACTGATCGATAAAATTCTTTTTTTTCCCACGTACTAATTATTATTTCCTTAAGTACAATCTAAAATATTTTTTTTTAAATAAAAGTTGCATAATTTCTTAATAATTTTCACAAATAATTCACCAACTCCAAGTAAATTCTCAATTGCATTCGTCATTGCGATCGAAGATCTCGCATCGTCGCGAACAATTGAACGAATTAAAATACATTGGCCGTTACAATTATCTCTCTTTTACAACTTAATTATCATCTTTGTTAACAAGGTTTAGTTCTACCGTAATAACGTTAACTTATCTTTTAATTCCCTTCGTGTACTATCGCGCGGTAGATGCAGCTGCTCCGCGAAAAGAAGAATACGAGGGGAAAAGGTTAGAGGAGAAGATGCGCCCGCGCTTCGCAGAGGGAGTTTAAACACATTTATATCCGTTCGAACGTACACGTGAATAAACCGCGAGCACACAGAGCTCGGGCTGCTGCTTCATGCCAGTCTCACGCCTCCGCTCTCTCATCCCTCTGTGTCTCTAGGATACTTGAAGTGCAACGCAACTGTATATGTACTGTGTACGCGACAATGCATCTTAATGCAATAATTTATCGAGGCGATAAATTTTTCGTCCGTTGTATTCTTCGAGTGAGAGAATTTTCACGCGTGGGAAAGGGCGGTAAGGAAGGAGGGGGTGCGGCGCAAAATGTGCTCGCGCGCAGACGACGTCTCCATAATCCTATCGAGGCGAAAAAAGGCAATGGTAGGGTGCGACGGCAATAGAAGGGCTAAACGCGACTCGACGCTTTCACGGAAAATTTTCTCAGTTACTTAACACCGCTATTTCGTTTCCATCGTGATTTCCCCGGTGAATTTGACCCTGAGAGAGGCGCGCGCGCGTGAACACAACGGGACCGGGGGCGGGAGGGTCGCAGATTCCGCTGAGTGATTTCGAGAGAGCGAGAATGCGGATCGTGCACTCGATGAAACCGTGCCACTCCGTATATGGTAAGAATAACGTGTATGTACAATGCCTCGCGCTGAAATACCATCGTACACTTGCTACACTGTGATTGTATGTCGCACTGGGGGTTTAAAACCGCCGGTGTTCGTATCTCCAACAAGCGTTCTCAAAGACTTAACACGTTGCAATTGAAATAATCTCAGAAGTGCGAGAAATTCTAAGCACATAACGTGTTCGGTATTATAAAATATCGATTATTCTCTTTTATTATTATTATTGTTTTTTTATTTTCTCACACAGAGAAAGGGTTACAGATGCTTATTATTACGTAAAACTTATTAAAATAAAAAGAAAACAAGAAAGTTGACGAAAAAGATTCTTTAACAAACATATTTTCTAAAAATAATTTATTGAGAAATCTAGTTTATTGTGATACAAGCGTCGGTGGAGATACGATTCTCATTCAGCAATGAGTTCGCTATAAGCGTGTTGTATAAACTCATCAACGTAGATTAGTTTCTACTAAAGGCATGCTTTCTTAGATAAACAAACGCTATTGGGAATGTATAGCGGAAAATCTATTAACACTTCGACGTCAGAGAGATACGGAGCTGAACAATCTCGGAAACTTCGACTGTATTTATTAAACAATGCGTCACGTGTTTGCTATGAGCAAGTGCTTAATCAATATACGTAGACCTTTGCCATACAAGTCGTTGAAATGGAAGGAAATCACGTAGAACGTTTGCTGTAGAGATAACACACTATTCAAATCTCAATAATAAGTATTGATTTTGGGAAGTATATACATTTACATATTAAAATCTTCTTGCTCTTTGTCGAAGTACTGTCTGCCCGAACAGTTTGCAACCCCCTTTTTTTTCTGAAACCTCGTCATGATTTCTTTAATATCGTAGCTTTCGGAAGCACAACAGCGCCAAACTCCGTAAGTCACGACACGAATATTATCCGCATTGAATATTTCGTGCGCGACGAAAATCGGTTTTGGACCGAAATAAATGTACGCATATATGTAAATGCAAGCGGGCGTAATTCGAGCGCGACGACGTGACACCGCGTGTCGGAAAAATGTTCAATTTCCTCGCCGTCGGGCTCGGGCAGAACGTCATCAGGATACGCTCACTCGCGCGATCGACAGATCGCCAATAATATTCTTTACAGCTGAAAGTCGCCGGGTTTCTTTTGTAACCGTTTGCGTCGCGCCGCGCCGCCTGGGACGATCGGGCGCGACGATGGGTAGGAATACGCGATATTATTCAGGAGCGAGAGGAGCGAGAGTCACGCGTCGTCATGTGGCGCAAAATTAATGAGCCGGAGCGAGAAAAGGCGATACGTTTTCCCGGAGGAAAGAAAAGATACGCACACGAATGTAACAGCTGCTTCGTGAAATTGTCACGGCAGGCACGGCGCGGCGCGAGTCGCTGCTGCATTATTTCTCGCTATTACTCGTATTTTCTGCGAACGTTTAAAAAATTTCAAAGGAAAATGCAATAAATTCATATAAATGTTATATTTAGAATATAGATAGATATATTATTGCGCATTATTAAAGCAATTTCTCGTTGTTCGTAATACGTTTAATATAACATGCAGATTTTGACGTTGATGGCATATCGATCGTTTCATATAAGTAGTAGTGACTGACAATAGTTAGACAGCCAATATTACTTGCTGCTTAAAGTTCACTTTAGAGAATTTGTAATTTGTCTTAGATTTCACGATACAAGTTTGTTTATGATTTTGTGTCATGTATTTTACAAGTATAAAAAATATTTTAATATATATTGTGTGTTTTCTGAATCATTAAATATTTTTTGTATTATACGGAACACATAAATAGAATTCTAAAAAATATATATTTAAATACGAATTATCGAATTATAAATTATAAATATAAATCATATAAATTTTATAAAGTGTCTTGAATGATGCTTAAAATAAAGTTGAAAACATAGCCTCAAGAATGTCATGCTTATACATATATAAATCATGCTCAATATCGCAAAAAGGCAGCTACGGGAACGCTCTCGTAACAACGTAACAACGCTGTCGTAACAAAATATGACGTTATCTCTAAGAAGTTCATTAAACTCCGGAAAGAATTATTACGTAAAGAATTAAATTAAATTACCGAATCAAATTACCGAGACGTGGTAATCCCAAGTCGGAAATATGAGAACTTATCACTTTGCTCCGTAGTCAGGAAATGAAGCGCCACGAGGAAGACTTCCGTCTGCGTACGAGCGGACGGAATCACATCGGAATTGCGATAATACACGCGCGGCAATGGGTAACGATTTTTTCTTTTTTTCTTCCATTCAATCGCCCCGGTTCCGGAATGAGGAGTTGTCGCGCCGTTGGCGAAATTAAACCAGAGCCATTACAACTAGGGAAAGTTTCGCGTGTCCGAGAAACTGCAGCAGGAACAAGCGGGTCGCCGTCGAGACCCCAGATGTCGGTGCGGCGAGTGTTCCGGAAGTAATATAGGGATGATGCACAACTCCGGATGATTAAAATTCGAAACTAACTAAATCCGTAACAAGGCGATTGCGAACGTTACATGTATTGTAACAGACCGCAATTAAAGCGCTGTATCTCCATATTACACTGCGAACGTGCGCGCGAGTTACATTCTAAAATCGCTTTCTACAACGTAACTAAATTTCTAGCTTAAGCGTGTGTGATTTTGTAATTATTTTATACTTATAATGAAGATAAACATGTAAAATATACAGGAAAATGATGATTCTATGAAATAATGATGAAATAACTCGGAATTCAGAGCCTCTGCATAAACAGGAAATAAGCTTCAGAAATGAGAGCTTTCTATTTTTCTCCCTGTGTATGTGACTTCTCTACTTTTGAATAATTGTACACGCGTCCTTTCCCTTACATTTCTATATTCGCAAGGCGATGATGAGATTTTAATACGGACAATGGACGAGTGTAAGTGATCCAGTTGATCCCCGGATAATGGTGAGAGTTAATGCCGCGACAGCGACCCTTGTAACGCGTTTGATCCTTTGATCCTTTTGCGCGCGGAAAAGGCAAAGTTCTGACGCGCGGAGCGTCAGCCGTGGACTGTCGCCGTGGAAAAGCTCTCAAAATGCAAAATTGGGCCGCCCCGGGCCACGTGCGATTTAAACGGTCCCCGCGCGTTTTTTTCTCACGCATTACGGAAATGTTACGCGCACCGACAACAAAGCCATGTTTCGATCCGCGATCGGGGATCGAAGTCTGCGATTTAACGCAACCGTTCCGCGCGCCTTGCGAGCGTTTAAATATAGAGCGAATTCATTCAATACACGTTGAAAATAACATTTGCAGCGTCAACAGAAAGGATTGGCGTTCTCCTGCATATTTTACGATCGCCGCGGCCTATTATGCAGAGTGCTTTAAATTAGAGTGTTTTTTTTATTAATCATGAAATTATTATAAAGCGCACTAATGCGTTGCAAATTTTCAATATTAATGTACGACTAGTAGGAATTATTATTAGATAGAAATTGCTTTGCTAGAAACTATTATATTATAGAATGATTAATTATGACAGGATTTTCCGATCCGATCGAAAATACTAGATATGTACGGAGATTCGTGATAACCGCAATTCTCGCTTTCTCTCGTTTCAGTTAAGGACGATAGACTGAATTCTCGATCGCCCAGCCAAAAAGGAAATCAGGGTGTGCTGCGGAAAACCAGTGGGGTAAGTAGCTTCCGCTCAAATAATACTCCCAATTAAACTTTACGACAATAGAGTTAAATTAAAAAATAGAGCAACCCCAGCAAATACATCTTTAATTAACTCGACTGCGTCGCGATGGAATCTCTTAGGATTAAGAAAAAACATTGAACGCGGATTGTTGCCGTGGATATTGCGATGTCGCATTATATATCACGGAAAGACGATGTTACGTGTCGGTAGATGCCTCGCCAAAGGTATCGACCTGTATCACTCGACGTATCATCATTCGTCAAGTGCGAACACCTTTGTACCGCGCCAACGCTTTCTTTCGACAGCTCTCTCTTTTTCTCTCTCTCTTTTGTGCGCGCGCGCGAGATGAAGCACACGTTTTAGCATCTCGCGAACAATAATGCTCGTAGTCCTTTTGCGAGCCTTGACCCGCTGACAGGGAGGTAACAATATGGCCGGGCTGACAAAGACAAATCGCAAAACGATTCGCCAGGCGCAAACAAAGCCTCGAGCGAGGCGCGATGGCGCATCATCGGTTTAACGCTGTCGATACCGTGAACGAGACTTTCCCGCGGGAAATTTCCTAAAGAGCTGAGAGTTTTTTTAATACAAAAAAACGCAAAAATTAAGGAAGAATATAATCACGCAATAATTATAATTTAATGTACTTTATTTAATTACTTTTAAATGTAATCTCATATTACATCGACGTGTCTTATTCCGATTTAAAAGAAGTAATGATGCACGTACACGCACACGCAACCGAACGTTTCTCTTTTTACTCATATAAATGTGTGTGATCCACAATGTAAATAAACAACTACACTACTATTTCGATGAAATTTTCCTTCACAGCACATTTCCATATTGTCCCCGGCATTACCTACAGTTCCGGGTACGTCCGGATTCCTAGCGTCGCGGTTACCATTGTCTTCGCCGAACGCCCCGCTTATTGTCCGAGCGACAATTACGTGAACGTTCCAGCTTTCGCGCAACTGCATGCATACGCGACGCAGCTGCGCCTCATTCACGGCCGGATTAATCCGCTCGGTCAGCAATGTAATCTCTGTCGCGTGCTCGATACGGGCGCAAATGAAGCCGACGAATTTCAATCCCGACAAGTGCCAAAGACGGAGCTGTCAGTGGAACAAATGCGTATTTGATCCGGCACACCTACGATCGTCCGTTTCGATTCCCCAACTACGTTTCTCGCCATGTACAATTACACGATTGAATTTAAATTTCATCGTAATTGCGATTTTCTTAAAATTAAATTACGAAACTCTGTGTGTGTGTGTGTGTGTGTGTGTGTGTGTATGTGTGTGTGTGAGTGATTAATTTAATTAAATTTTAATTAAATTAAATTCTGTAAAATCTTTTTAGAGTAATGAAAAAGTAGCGCGGTTTCGAAATACTTCGTGCGTTTTACTAATTTTATTTCATATTTGTTTTAAAAAATTTTTAGTTTTTTTCCGCAGCTTTCGCACGCAGTCGACCGGTGTGGTTTACAGATCGCCGTTGAACATACTTTCGGTGTGACGAACGGCGCACATTAAAGACACGGTAGACTGCAATAAAGATCCGTTATCACCGTTATTACTGTGCACTCCCCCTCCCCTCCTCCTCTGCAGATGAAATCTGCCCGCGTTTTGCGTCACGTGAAACGAGCGGGCGAAGCGCCGATTACGCTACATTAACGCGTTACACATCGTGTCGCATTTACGCCGGGGAGAGAGACTTTTATTGCCGTGCAGTGAATTTGCTAGTTTGCGCAATGGTATCTCGCTTATCTTTGCATTATTATAATATGATTCGAATCATTTACATTGCTCGTTCAACATTTAGAAGTAAAAAAGGGGGATCAATGTGAAAGCGTCAGAGTTGCTTTACGTGGCCGCTCTTCATTAAGAAAAAAAAGTCTAGTCTCTAAACTAGATGGATTTAGCATGATAAATTGAATAATTATTCTATCAATAGAGAGCAGAGCTTTTCGCGCGACTCCGCGCAGGGAAGAGAAGAGAGAATTAATAATAGTGGAAGTGAATAAGATGCTAAGTGTAAAATTGATTGGCGCGTCGCGCGTCGCGAAGTAACGCGCGGGGCAGAATATTTCGCGTTTCCTCGCGTGTAACGCGTGTAATGCATGCAAGCGTAACGAGAGCGATTTGTCGCGACGTTGGCGGTGACGGTGCACGGCGAAGGGATAACGTTAATAAAATGCTGGGAAGGTTTCTCTTAACGGGTCGGGCCCGCGCAGTGTTGGGCGCGATACATTATTCATGGCAGGTACCAACACATCACACACTCGATAGCGGATTACACAGCGCGATAACTCAACGAGCAATTTCTAGAATGTTGCCTTCGCTCTGAGGTGCCTTCAGCTTGATGTACGATCGCGGCATAATCACTTGACGAAGCGAACGAGTTTCCGTTGAAGGTCTTAATAATTTGTCCCGATAATTTCATAGAGCAGGACGATCTCCTGCTATCTCGAATATTCAGCAAAAATGTTGAAAATATTCGGTAACAAATATAACAAGAACAAGATAAAAAGAATTTAATTGTATAAAGAATGTACTTGTAAAAAAAAAGAATTAATTTTCTTTATTACGCTCTTTTGCGCACGGCATCCGACTTTAATTAATTAAAGATGAAATTTTTATTTCTCCAATAGAATTATCGGAATCGAAACAGTCGTTTCTTCAGCGTTTCCACCGAGGACACGAATGTCGACACCGAGGTTGGTGCCGGCACAACGCTCTCTTCCGGTCGGAGTTCCGCCGGGGCCACAGGACTCAAGGCCAGTAAACAGCGATGGAGCGGGTTTTTCACCAACACCAAGGGTATCAAGATGGACCTGTTAACCGCCCAGCTGGACGAGTATAACAAGCACGGCGTGCCAAAACTCTCGAATGTTCATTTGCAGTGCGACGTGACGATCAACGAAGAAGGTACGATTTTTACCACTTCTGCCCTTCGATTTGTCTTTTCTCTTTCCTCCGTCGAGCGTTTTCCCTCGAAACGAAAGACGCTCGAAATCTTGAGGATTCACGATGATCCAGAAGAGAATTAACGCGAGGCACGCTTGCTTCCCTGGAAAAACACCTTCATCTCGTGAAAGAACATTTAAATCCTCCTTTTCTGTCGTCAGCTCCCCCGGCTCGTTACATGCAAACGGAATTGGCAAAGTTTGAAGATCCCTTTAACGACTTACTCTTGGTGCAATCGCGTTACTTCTTACGTCATGCCCCTCTCGTTTCTCGGAGAGACGTTCTCGAGTGCGAGAACGCGATTGTTTGAGTCGGGGGCGAGATTAAAATTCTGAGGTACCCCCGTCCGGTGGCTTATAATGTTATAATTCACATTACTAATAGCGTCGCGCTCTCGCAGCATTGAAAATCGATGGTGCGACTTACGTTCTTATCTTAAACAAAGTAGCCCGAAGTACGTGATTTTTCGGAGGAGAATGCAATTTAAATGACCTTTTTCTCATTTTCTTCGCGGTCCTCAGGGAAACCCTCATTTATATAACATTATCTCTATGGAATAAACTTAGTTTGCTGCAATCGTATAGACACTGTTGCAACGTAAATATTATCGTGACGCTCTTCCAGCTCTCTACGACTTAGAAGGTGACTGGCGCGACATTGTCGAGAATTCACAGGCGCTCTCGGAGAAACACACGCAGCAGCAAACCGCGCTTTGGGAATTGGCCGAGACCGAAGTGGGCTACATTAAGACGTTAAAGGTTGTGATCGATGTAAGTATAGAGTGTCGACGTAGGTACTTCTTACGTTTCGCGAAACCAGACTCGTTAGACTGATCAATCTGATCGAGACGATAGAGCCGATAAGATTGTTCGACATATCAAATATCTTGAAAATATAACGAGGCTCGCGGGGATGAGGTATCTCATCGGGGGATTAGAACTTTCGGTCTTTCCTATAAGTGATGATCGTCTCTGATATCGTAGCTCTTCATGGCGTGTCTCTGCAGTCTACAGGCCTCGAATATCCTGATCGAGGTCGACAGGCTGAAACTCTTCAGCAATATACCCGATATCTACGCCATTAATCGCTACTTTTGGACCGAGTATCTGCTCACCATGGTGAACGCGTCGAGATCGAGCGGGCAGCCGTTCGATCCCAGCCTTCTTCTGCAGGGCTTCGCAAATTTCGAGCAGACGTTCGCGCCTTACACGAGATTCTGCGCCGAGCAGAGCAAGTGTCAGCAGTATTGTAAGGATCGGATGAACGATAATCAGCTTTTCACGGCGTACCTGGTGGTACGTACACGCTATTAATCACTCTCTTGCTCGCTTCCGTTAACTTGGTTTCGCGGAGTCAACTGTTGGTCTCATTATTGATCTAGACTATTTATTCCGGAATCGCACAGTTAGCAGTTTTAATTATTAAAAAAAGTGGCTATATGCGTCTTGAGGGATTTTTTTCATCTAAAGAAATAGGCGTTTTCTTCAGATTTGTTTAAATAACTTTAAATGGGTTAAACTTTAACTAAAAATCTATGTGTAGCTGAAATTCTTCAAAGTTTTATGTAAGATTTTTATGTAAGAAAATGTTCTTTTTAACATTTTTAATAATATTGTTTTTATAAGAGATGTAAAAGAAAATTAAATAGGAAAAATGATAAAATTTCAAATGTATTAGGAATTAGTAGCGATATTTCGATCCTCATTATAGTGGTGCGAAACGCAGAAAGACTGCAATCGACTGAAACTTATGGATATACTGGTGATGCCGATGCAGAGGCTTACCAGATATTCGCTCCTGCTTAAAGCCGTCTATAAAAACACCGAGAACGAGGATCAACGCATGGGATTGACACACATGGTAAAGTTTACTTTGCTTTTTTCCAATTTCTGGGTTAGCACATGACGGGAAGGGGTGCGAAGCAAAGGGTGGTGCGTTTATGATGAGCTCAGCTTCCCTGTAGATGAAAGCTAAAGTAGATTCCATATAAGTTATGAACTTGGTTTTGGCTTTTGCCTAAAAATTCTTCGTAAATAGAAATTACGAGAGAGAGAGAGAGAG